AGGCATAGTTAGCTGTTCATTACTGTCTCTTCCTCCAGTCAGAGGAAAAGCACAAAGATTCCTACTGAATATACGATTCTCAGTTGCTCTGCTGCTGTTATCATATTTTATTGAATTTTTATGAGACAAAGAATAGATGAGGCAGATCTGCTGAGCAGTTTAAAATCTGATTTCCATCAAAGACTGTACAGTTTAACAGAACCTTAAGAGGAGCTGTTTCATCTTGAAACCTGTGAGGAATCCCCTCCAGCATCAGATGTCAGCTGCCCTCTTACAGGCTTCACCTTCTTCACTCCACTGCCAATTTTGGCTCTTTTCACTTATTTTCATCCTTAATCAGCAGTTACATTATATCATACCAAACTGATTGTTTGCATTTTTCTAAATGATCAGATAAGAGACTACTAGATTAATGTTTGCATACAAAAATTTCTTATTGTTGGATTATATTGATTCAGATACATACACAATAGCTCATTTATAAACTGTAACCATGTAACATATTTATCTCATGTCACTATGTGCCAAAACTTTCTAATCATCTCATTGTTCTGGCACAACGTTTCTTGCCATTTTCCTGACAAAGTCATCTCCAAACTCCAGGATCTGCTTCATGGCACTCAGAATCAGTGCGTCCATTTCAGTGTGCAGTTTGTTTTCTTTGCAGTAGTTTTTCACAGGCAGAATGCAGTTCAGAGGAATGCCTGTACCTGAGCTGATATCCATCATCTAAAAGGGAAAGAGAGAGTTTAAATACAGAGAATTTCCTGAAGAAATGGAATGTTATATCACATGTTCTGTTCCTGGATGAACTATGTAACTAATAAAGAAACTCACCTTGATCATCAGGAACCTGCTCTTAAAGACGTTCTTCAGGTCCTTACCAGTTTCTGTACAAGCCTCATCAATGTGGGTGACAAGAGCCACCTGAGGAATCCCTGCAGGTACCAAAAATAACTAAATAGGTCATGTAATTCAATATCAACATAGATGTCCAGAGAAAGCTCCTCAATGTGGGCAGCAGCAGTTTATAACCCATTTTTTTCAGGGATCAGAGAACCAGAGAAAGAGTGAAAGGAACAATTAAGATTACAGGAAAAGTTTTAAATGTGGATGACTGTAACAGCCAAGAGAATATGATGCTGTACTTTTTCAATGCTGGCATGAAGAACACACACCG